ATAGAATACTATGCAACAGAAAGAAAGAAGGAATTCCTACCTTTTGCAACAGCATGAGTGGAACTAGAGACTATTATGTTAAGTGAAATAAGCCAGTTGGTGAGAGACAAATACCATATGACCTCACTTATAACTGGAATCGAATGAACAAAATAAACTAATCGGAAAAATAGAACCAGAGACATAGAAACATGGAATAGACTGACAGCTGTAGGAGGGGAGGAGGGAGCAGTTAATCGTGGAAGAGATTAGTCAAAGAACATGTTTGAAGGACTCACGGACATGGACAAGGGAGAGGGGAATGATTGTGGTAGAGAGGAGTGGGCTGGGTAGAGGGGGGCAAAAGGGAAAAAATTGGGGCAACTGTAATAGAATAAGAAGAAAAGAGAGAGAGAGAAAGAAAGACAATTAAAGAAGTATTTTTGTATGTTCTAAATTGGAAAGTTTTGGGATAATCCAGTGGAAATGAATTAAGTGTGTCAAAAATACAATGTTTCTAAATTTTGGGGAAGATTTTTAATATTTCTAATTTCAAGTATTGTAATCACAAAAGATAGTCACTTCATTCCCTCTCTTTTACTCTTTTCTCTTCCTGCATGTGTGTTTGTATATATTTGTGACTCTGTGTGTGTTGTGCATTTTCTCCCAATAATCTTTTCTGTTTCATTTTGTTTTTCTAGCTTTGTTGTTCTTTGACTGTTTTCTCATGCTAGGCCCTTCTTAATTAAAAGTTGAGTGTAATATAAACTAGCTTATACATTTTCATTATCTATTACACCTAGTTAAGTAGAATATCAGCTTCCATATTTATTTTTGAGCACAAGAGTTCTTTTTTATGTGACATTTAACATCTATTGGTGCAGTAAGTCTTGGCCAAATAAAATTTTTAATTTTTAATGGCTGGGCCTTGGAGGGTCCAGCTCTACAGTTCATTATCCACCATTTCCATAATCTTAGGAAAGTTGGCTATCTTCTACAATGTTAGCTTCATCTGTTTTTACAGAGTTAATGTATGTCACTGAGGGTTGTGAAAATTAAATAATAAAGTGAGGCAAGAAGTAAGCATTTGATTTCAAAGTTAAATCCCTGCTAGATTGTGCCTGTTGGAATTTGCAATTCCTTTCACTTTTCTATTGTAAACTTTTCTTTTCCTCTTAGCATCCTTCCCTATCTCTTCTTTCATATTGTTTTTTTCCTTTTTAGCATAAGTCTCACAGAAGATAAACAGGATAAAAAGTTTCATGCCCTAGCTCTTCTCTCAGCCAATCAGGGCTTTAACTCTCCCCCTCCCTTCCTTTGTCAGTCAACAAGTATTTAGTAAGTGCCCATGAGGCGCAGAGTATTATAAGAGGTAGCTGAATACTTAATTCCATTTGCAGTTATCCAAGCCTGTCATTCCACTTTAAAGATGGAAACCCAATCCTACACGGAACAAGAACTTTCTTCAGTGTTAATCCTGTGTTAATGAATTTGTTAAATGAGTCTCTCCTGACACAGAGAAGAGAGTACTTTGTTATAAGTAGAAGATTTTATTGTTTAATCTGTTTATATCTTCAACGGCATTGATGGAAAAATACTCTTCCAGTGTAGCCAAGGGATATCACAGTAGGCCAGTATCTGCCCAGAGCATGTTTGGTAAAGAAAAAGGAGATTTGGCAGGAGCAGGGGTCATCTTCAACTCACTTTTTAAAGGTGCAGAGGGAGTTTCTTTATTATTGTTAGGATCTTTCACTATTCACATTTGATAAACTAAAACAATATCTTAAAATTACACTTTTGGTGGACAATATTACTGTTTATTTTTTGTAGTGGATGTTAGTCCAGAAAGCTTTCAAAAACACTTTTAAGAATACATGAAATATCGCCCTGGCTAGTGCAGCTCAGTGGATTGAGCGCAGGCTGCAAACCAAAGCATCGCAGGTTTGATTTCCAGTCCGGGCACATGCCTGGGTTGCAGGCCACGGCCCCCAGCAATCACACATTCATCTTTTCTCTCTCTCTTTCTCCCTCCCTTCCCTCTCTAAGAAAGTAAATAAATAAATAAAATCTTTAAAACAATTTAAAACAAAAACTTAAAAAAAAGAATACACAAAATGCAAGAAAATCTTCTAAATTGCAAAAGGGAACAAAGCAAGCATGAAAATCTTGAATGGGACCATTGAAAATGAGCACTGGACAGAAATTTTTCATTGTGACTGGATAAGACCTGCAACATTGACTTACATACTTGCTGTGGTTGGACTAAATTTGGCTTTAAGTGTTCAAACAGTCGACAAAAAATGGAGTTAATTTTCCAAAGTACTATACATTGAGTTGAAAAATAATTCTGTTACTCAGAAGAAGCAAAACTATTTTTGTTGCAAAAATCTGAAAAGAATTTCTCCAAGGAATCCATGTGAAAATGGCCTTGTGTGATCTAACAAAGAACACTTTCAAGCAGCAACTTGCAGGAAGAGCCGAGATGGATTCCTCAGAGCTCTTTCCTGTGGCGAGGGTCAGTGAAGACTGATGGTGTCCCACTGAACACTGGTCATTAAAGGAATAATTCTGTGGAATGGGTCTGTCTCAGTTGCAGAACCCATCACTCTGCTGGTCTGAGCTGATCTCAACACACATTTTAGAAAATCTAGAAAATAGATGTTATGATCCTCAATCAATTTTTCTTAAATGTCTTGTATTTTTTTCTCGAATGAACTTTATTAGCGGCCTGGTAGCACTGATAGACATGTTCCAGGAATAAAGCTCTTTATTCCACGCATATAGTAACTAACCCCTTGCTTTAATGGAATGTGGAGTTTGAGGTTGGTTGACTGCTTTTGCAAACTGAGAAGACTATGCGTGCTGGCCTCAAGGGGCCATCCAGGCTCATGGAGGAACTGAAGATGTGCTCTTATAAAAAATTCACCCCAGTAAATTGTACTGAACTACTTTAATGTCCAGACCAATGTTACGGTCACAAAAAATTTAGCTTGGCAGATTTTTCAGGCATATATAGCCAGGTACCCACCTGGTGGAAAAGCTTAGACTTCTCATAAAACTTTGACTAGCTTTGAGCATTTCAACTTCTTGGTTTATACTTGAAGGAAAACTACTTGCCAAATATATACTGAAAAAATAGTGAAAGAAGGAACTTGTTTAGCAGGACAGTTACTTATAAACCAGTTTGAAATTGAGAGACAACCTACTACAAGTAACATACTTGGTTACATAGTAGGGAATCCATAGCCCTTTCTCCTTCTGGCAGGAATCAGCTAACAAAGGCATTCCTTGTTAAGTGGTAATACAACCAAAGTACCCTAGAGTTTAAAAGATAATAATAACTACTTGTCTCAAGTACTAAGAGAGCTGCATGCACTAGGTTATACAAATGGCGTATTATAGAATTAAGTACAAATTGGTAGTTTACAAAATGGTCACAGGGATATAAAGTACAGCATAGGGAATATAGTCAATAATACTGAAAGAACTATGTATGATGCCATCTAGGGTACTGGAAATATTAGGGGGAGGGACACTTTGTAAAGTATATGATTGTCTAACAGTATGTTGTACAACTGAAATTAATACAGAATGACATTGAATGTAAACTGTAATTGAAAAATAAAATGTTGTGTCTTTTAAGAAAAAGAAAAAAAAAAGAAACAAAAAATGGAGCTAGAAAACACCTACTTATACCCTACAGAACACATTTGAATCATTCAAGTGCCTTTCTACTTCCTTGACTCCTTTAGAATTAGGTGCGGGTTCCTAGTAAACATCAGTGTATATTTGCAAAGAATTCCCAATGGGAGATAGTTACTGAATATCAGAGGCTAAAATAAGTGCTTTAACTTTATGCTGCTTATTACTGTAACTCTTCTTATTAGTAATGTGGCTGGAAGTAGGTATTTGATAGTAATAACAGTTACCCTGTGGTGGCTCAGTCATGGTGCCTGATGATAATGAGACCAAAGGCAGAGAGTATCGGCTGACTGGAAGTGTGCCAGGATTCGGGACATTCAGCTTCTGGCCCTCACTCAGTCGGAGATTTTTATGGTATTTGTCATATCTTTTGAATATTCTGTATCTCAGCTGCTCCATCTGTTAAACTGAGGGCACAATAACTACCCTGGTCTATCTCAGAGGAATGCTGCACGGATAAATTAGATCAGTGTTAATGTGCCTTGGAGGTAAAGCTGCTCTATGAATAAAAATTAGTGTGATGTTACTGAAAAGAAAGTTATAGAGGCTAGAATGGTTAAGCTCTGCAGGCTTCATGACTAGATAAGACTTCATACTGAATTCCTGTCCAGCAAACCAAACCCTTATCAGTTCATGACTGTATGATATTTAATGGGAAAAAATCTCTTTACAAACATTTGTTACCTTGATATAAATGTGCATTAAAAACAAGTCATGTTTGAATTAAATAAAACCTTCCTAAGTAGCTTCAAACAATCTCTAATACCCAGTTTACAGTTTCTGTAGTCCTTTTGGAGGTTGATGATTTGATATGCTTAATAAAGTTAAGAAATATATGAAACTATGTGTAGGGAAGAGAAATTGACTGGAATATTTTATTGGATAATATTATATTTAGGATCCTGACATTACCAAATTAAGATTTTCCTTTTGTTTATTTTATGGAAATGTCAAACTCTCACCTCTGCTTAAACCACATTTTTTCTGGTTGTTTTCTGTCACAGTTAACATCCTCATTCTCAGTCATAATCATGACACAAATAAACTCACTCATTGGAACTCAAAAAACGTAACTACCAAATCTCTTGCAGATAGAATAACAGGGGAGGGGGCACATGCCCTTTCAGTGCTCTTACTCCTCCTCTCTTTTCACATGAATGTGCAGGAAGTCCCTATGTAAAATGACATGGGTTCAGTCCCTGAGAAGGAGAATTATGCAAGCATTTAATTGTTTGGATATTGTATAAAAGAGAATCCTATCCAGGCAAACTTTAGAAACTTTGATTCCTGAGCCAGCTTGATCTCTTTACTTCTTTCAGGGGACCATTCCTAGTGGCACTGGGAAAATCTTGGCATCCAGAAGAATTTAACTGCGCTCACTGCAAAAATACAATGGCCTACATTGGATTTGTGGAGGAAAAGGGAGCCCTGTATTGTGAGCTCTGCTATGAGAAGTTCTTTGCTCCTGAATGTGGTCGATGCCAAAAGAAGATCCTTGGAGTAAGTATCAGAAATCTCTTTATTCTGAGTGAATTTTAAAGCACAACAATTGTTGTTATGAACCCCTTCCGTCATTGTTTTCGTCAGTAATTATTGCTGTAAAGCAAAACTAAATAGACCTCTGTAGATAGGTCTCATGGGGCCAGGTTGTCTTAGGTTTTGTGTTGTCGAGTACTGGTTTGTCTGGTGAAAGTCTAGCCACTGAGAGAGAAAAATAATTTACTCTGGGTGTACTACCTCAACAGGACCCTGTTTGCTCGGGAATGAAGAGGTCGTACAGGACCACACACATCAGAGTTCTCAGAACTGACACCTTCACTGTTTTAAATTAAATTCCATAGCTTTTATAAGAGCAGCACTTCCCTATTTGTCAGGGTTCAAGCAGAGGGCACAGATCTCATGAAATATATAAAACAGGCTTATAAATGATATGTTTTTCTTGAATGCATATAATGTTTAAAAATATAACCTCAGTTTTATGAGAGCATACCTGTATAGAAAAATAATAAAACCACACCTTTTTAAATTTTTTTGCATAAAGGGAGTAATTTAGGTGTCACGTACATAATAAATAATAGTGAATGAATGAATTTCCCACTCTGCAGTACCCAGGTTGCAATTACCAAATAAGAGCCAGGCATTTCCTATGGGTGACCAGGAGTTGGAATTTTACTTTAGAAGGAGCCAAGTTGCCTGTTCTCCTATGAAACTCATACAACTAATAGGAAGTTTGGAAATAGCATTGCTGAATTCTAATATTTCCAATATGAAAATATAATAGTAAAACTCTAAATTCATATCATGAGAAGTTAGCATGGATTATAGAGTAGTCTTAATTTTAGACTATATCATTAAATATATCTAAAACTTCGAGGACACTGAGAAATTGTAAATATACCACATGAAATGCCATGTGAAATATTAATTTGTACAATATATTAGGAACAAAAGTATAGAATGATTCAAGCTGTACCTTCCCAATGACAATTAATAAGTAGAATACATTATTACTGTTTTAGTATATAAATCTATTCTATGAATTCCAGAATAATTAATAAAACAAAGTCAAGTAACAGTCTTGGAACCAAAACAGGTTCTGGGAAATGGAAACCTGACACTCATTGCTTCAGAGATAGGCATGAGCTTCACCAAAAGGACAGATTCCCTGGACTGTGTTTTAGTTATCTGAGTACCTATTAAAGAAGGGATAGTAATCTATCTCAAGTATATAAAGGGAAGCATTTGCTGGAAGCCTTGGGAAATGATTCGGTTGATTGTACATTTGTTGTTCATGGTCGTCTTTTGGGGATCTAAACAACTGTCATTTCTTTTCACTGTCCTTTAGTAGTGAACTGTGACATTTTCCATGGCTAATAATTTATTCTATATCATTTTCTTTTATTTTGACAATATTTTTATTATAAGAGAAAATATTTCACTCTACAACAATTAGAAAATACAAAAATATGTAAAGAATGAAATTAAAATGACCTATTTACCATTCCCAGATAATTCTTGCTAACCCTTGGATGGATTTTCTTCCAGTTTGCCCCTTATAAGTAATTCATTTATAAAATAATAACCATACTTTGTGTATGGCATGCTGTTTTTATGGTAAATATTATGGAAAGAGTAAGTCTTCATGTTATTGACTATTCTTTAAAAATGATTTTAATGGCTCCATCTCTTTCAATCCAAAGAAATGATTCCTTGCAAAATCTTCCCAAAACTTCTGCTAACTAAAAGCTGGCCCAAGTTTTTGGTACTTGGTATATTTAACTATAGGGCCACCGTTGACTAGAATCCTTGCTTCATGGTTTAAATTTTAGGTACTCTTTTGAGTGTACGCTTAGTACAGTCACAGCTAATTTCCCAAACCCTAAACATGTGCTAAACTGATTGGATCACACTGATTAGGTTATTGCTTCCAAAATGCACTGAAGTATAGGTTTGTTTAGTTTTTAAATGTTTGCCCTTTCTCCATGATATTTTCAAGAAAATACTATGAAACTTTTATAAGTTAATGTTTTCTGACACCTTTTGAGAGAAAACAGAATGTATTATATAGCAAGTGCTTATGAAATGCTTACTTTATTCACTGCTCAAATAATGTTTAAACAACACACTAATCATTCTTTAAAGAAGTTTATTGATACTGTTTGTGAAAAATGCACATTATATAGTGCATCAGTTTAGACAATTTGTAAGCTTGTTCCTTCGTATCTCCTGTTACTTAGGAGGAAAGCTCAAGGCAAAGACAAAGCATGTGAATATGCTTTGTTCAGTTGAAAGGGCTGCATTGGTTGAGCTAGTTAAGTAAGTATTTGTGTATTGTCATCTTTTTTTACATCCAATTACCTTTCTATAACAGGAAGTCATCAATGCTTTGAAACAAACTTGGCATGTTTCCTGTTTTTTGTGTGTGGCCTGTGGAAAACCCATTCGTAATAATGTTTTTCACTTGGAGGATGGTGAACCTTACTGTGAGACTGGTAAGCTTCTGAAGCCATTAGTTTCTTAAGTTTCGAATGAGGGTAACGCATTAAGCCTATATTGCTCTGACGTTGAAAGGAAATATATTAGGCAAAATAGTTTTCCTAATTATTTTAGGAACATTTAACCTTACCCTAAATATATGACAAAATAACTATGTATAATTTTATGTGACTGTCAAAACAGATAGCCCCAATTTAATTAAGAGACATGAGCACGCGTAAGCTTTACTTAGGAGAAAAGCGCTTTGCCTGAATCCCCGATAATTTATGGCTATAAATTCTGCCAAATCCTATAGCATCCAGCCACCTCTTAAAATTCAATAAGTAAAATTTGAGTGATTATAAACATGACAAATATTCAATTTTTGAATATGATACTGATTTGCTCTTTAAGGCAATTTCCTTGACAATCAGTTGGAATCCTTTGTTATTTTACCTGAAGGGGAGGGTAATCCTGGCTCTAGTTGCTCCCTCGGTAAAGTGAATTTTAATAAATTAGCTCTAAGGACCAGACATTTGCTTTATTACCTGAAATCTGGACACTTCCTTTTTCTCCCCAGAAGCTGTACACGGACTTTCATAGCACTTACTCATTAATTTACCCTTACTTAGATTTTACTACTGTGCATACATTTTTCAAAAATAAAATATTTTTCCTTTGTCATGCCTTCACTCACTATACTGCATTCCCACTATGGAGTTTTATTGCTCTATCTTGAATATCTGTGAGTGGTGTTGGAAGAAGGAAATATTCCACAATAGTCAAGTTAAAGGAGCAGGCCGCTTCTAATTTGAGGCTGGTCAACACCACTCAGTCCTATTTTGCTCACTCAGTATTTTCTTATTTTCACCTTTCTCTTAGTTCCCTAGTTAGGACCAGTTTAGATCTATGTCATACTATCCAGTGGGAAGCCCTGCGGAAATCCCAGTGAATTGCCCCATAGGCTTTTATGGGACAGGTTGGCTACAAGCTGCCTACCTACCCTGATTCAACCAGATTATTTTACATTTTGTAATGCCACTTAATTCTTCTGAAGAAAGAGCTTTTTGCTTGTTTGTTTTAGAAGCTTTGTAAGATATATGGACTAAATGGCAGATAGTCCCTATCTAGCCAAAACATGTAAAAAAACTATCTAGCCTTAATATATTTAATATAGTGTAAGAAGTCCTATTTTTAAAACCCCAAAATTGAGCCCTGGCTCGTGTGGCTCAGGGGATTGCGTGCTGGCCTGCGAACCACAGGGTCACTGGTTCAATTCCCCGTCAGGGCACATGTCTGAGTTGCGGGCCAGGTCCCCAGGAGGGGGCGCATGAAAGACAAGCACACATTGATGTTTCTCTCCTTCTCTTTCTCCCTCCCTTCCCCTCTGTCTAAAAATAAAATGAATAAAATCTTAAAACAAAAAATCCCAAAATTACTTATAGAGAGGGGAAAGCATTATTGAAGTCTAGTTTACTGTCACTTCTGATCATCTTGGTCTGTTTTTGTTCTTTTTCTTTAACTTCCCAGCCTTGTTTTTAACCCAGCCTTCCACTATCCCAAAATCTAGTAGTCATCTGGGATTCTGCACTTTGCCTTATTCTCCCTATATCCAATTTAATTAGTAAATTCTAACATATACCTCCTGTATTTATGTCGCATTCATTTCTTTCTCTCCATGTTAGCCATCGCCACTAAATCCAACTCATTCTCACCCTTTGCCTAGACATTGTAATTGCCAACTCGTTATCTCTTCTGTTCCCCAGCCCTCAAATAGTAGTCACAGTCATATTTGTTTAAATGTGAATCATACTATTAACAGTTTCCGTTAGAGTAAAAATTGTGCCCCTGTGAGCACCTGCTTTGCTGACGTTACCTCCCACCACCTTACCTTCAGTCACTGGCTTCTAGGGGCCCATACAGCTGCTAAAATCCCTTCCCACCTCAGGGCTTTTGTACTTGCTGTTTCTTCTAACTGGAATGTTCTCCCCGGGCTGTTCTCTGGTGGTTCCTCCTTTCTTTTTCCAGTCTCAACATAACCATTACCTCCTCAGAGAGGCCTTTCTAACCCTCCTATATAATATTATATTATATCACAGTTATTTTTTGTCCCCCAGTTAATTTATATCACATCACTCTTTTCTTTCCTTCATGGTACTTTTTACAGTCTGAATTTGTTTGTTACTTATTTTTAAAATACAATAAATTATGACATTCTGCTCCCAAGGAGAGTAAAAGCACCATGAGGAGAGCAGCACATCAGTTCCCTTCAGCACCATACCCCTGACCAGGGCCTGGAGCAGGGCCCGGCACACGGCAGGACTCTGTGGCTCTGTGTTGAACAAATAGTGAATATTGAAGATTGCTAAGAAAGGTGAATCAGGTTGCACAGATGGCCTATTTTCTCTTCCAGCCCAAGCTGGGCGAAAATGTCCAAGGCCAAAAGGTGAACCATGAGTAAACACAAGTAGTGAGAGTAGCTACATATAAGAAAATTAAAGTGCCTGTAAGTTCTAATTTAGTAATAATGAGAAATACCTTGTCAAACTGCATTCTTCAGAAGGAAGTCCTATTAGTATTTTATAACTATAATCTGTGTCAAGTAAATAGTGTTCTCTGGCTAATGATTTTAAGCATGAAGTCATAAAATTGTAAGGAAAATATAGCAAAAAAAACTAGTGGCTAATATTGTAACATGGTCCAGCTAGAAACTCAGTCATGGAACTTTTTCATGGAAGTTGTCTGTGACATTTTTCTTCCTCACCAAGTCAGATATGCTATAACATTTGCTAATACCAGTTATTTCTTTCTGGTTGAAGTTCATTGTTGCTAGTTATTGGAAGGTTTTTTGTATTGTATTGAAACAGTCATGTTTATTGATAACTTATGTGTTCTTGTTTATATACACATATTTGGACATTTAAATAGTTGGAGAGAAATGAAAAGTATTACATGGAAAAATAGAATAAAGGGTGTTAAGTTGTGTAAATAGCATTTACCAAGGGTAACCTGAAACATGCTATGCATGTATCTCAAGCCAAATATTATGCCATCTGAAAATTTTCCAGGGTTACTAATAACTTTTTCTTCATCTTCTCATTCAATTCCAAATTTGTTGCTGCTTTCTAGGAATTGTCATTCTAAAGCTCTGTCATGTTTAAATGATGTCTCCTCCTCCCTCAACACAGATTACTATGCACTCTTCGGTACTATCTGCCGTGGGTGTGAATTTCCCATAGAAGCTGGCGACATGTTCCTGGAAGCGCTGGGCTATACCTGGCACGACACTTGCTTTGTGTGCTCAGTAAGTAAATGCATTTCTGAACTAAAGGAGCACAGTATGGCCAGTTCTAGCATACACGCTGAATGGAATTAACAGTTCTTGTATCTTTCAATCCTTTAAACCTAAAAATACTTGTACAATGATTTTGAAAGTTGTTTATTAAAATTTTTGGCACTTTAAAAAATTACTTGGCATAGAATAAAATGCTTACTGTGTAGAGAATATCATGTTTTTAATACAGTTTCGTTTCCAAGGAGAAGCTATATATTTATTAAAATAGTAAGAGTCCTTTACTTTTTAAAAAAACTTATTGTTTTTTAGTAATTTTTAGAAGCATAAGTACTTCTTAAAATAGAAATAAATAATTATTTTAAATTAACATTGGAAGTTTTCTTTCGTAGCAATAGTCCATGAATATTTTTTTCTTTTTGAGACTACAATAAACTTGTAGTAATATATTTACCTATTATATTTCATATTTTAATATTTTTCATGAGCATAGATTCAGAGATTAACATTAACCCAAAATATACATTTTTGATTTAGCAAGTATATATTTAATAAGGATGCTCTGTTCAGATGTTTGACTTTTTAAAAAATTAATATATCTAATAGTTTTCAATACCCATTGTATAAAGGGAACAAAGTCATGTTAATGGAAGTTGAATGATTATCCAAATGTTACCATTAAACTCAGTTTTGTTTACCTCATGCATCTCTTAGACATCATAAAATCTATTAAGTAATTTTTAGCAGATTTGCCTTCTATTCTCTTTAGAGCTTCTCATGAGCACTTTAACACCGGCAATAGGAAAGACAAGAAGACATAAATGTGGATAGTTAACAGACTTCATAACCATCCAGCAACCAGATTTTGACCAGATTTTTTATTATAGGAAACTAAAGAATGTATTTTAAAAAACCTCTCAGGAATTCTATCCCTGTGTGTTTGGGGGCTTGGGAATGTTTGGTAAAGCGATTGTGTTGTGTTTTCTGTGTGAATGCCTTGGTTCTCTGGAACAGGAGGTAGATTAAAAGCATTGATTAGAATTTGGGAAGAGAAATTATATCAATATTTAGTGTGACCTCTTTGGGTGTTAATTTTTCATTAGGGCCAACTCCCAATAAAGAGAAATAATGATAAGTAATTTAAATAAATTAGAATGCATTCCAGAAAAAGTCATTTGTCATTGCTCTCGAAAAAGGAAATGAAGTAGAGTAATTGTGAAATGGTAGGGTGTCCAACATATCCAACTAAAGTGCTTTGTCATTGTATCTGTTGGGTGAAAAATCATTTTCCCCTTCATGCATCCTTGATAAAATAATTATATTATCTCATCTTACTTTTTTTTCCAGGTGTGTTGTGAAAGTTTGGAAGGTCAGACCTTCTTCTCCAAGAAGGATAAGCCACTTTGTAAGAAACATGCTCATTCTGTGAATTTTTGAAAGTCAACATTTCAGAAGACAAGAAAGAAATTTGAAGAGAAAGAGGAGAATTAAAATTACCAATTGATTTTTAGATTCAATACTTATATGGATATTTGAAAAATAATAGTAGGCCTGAAGGGATAAACTCCAGGTTTAAAAATGAAATCTATGAGGAAATACTTGGCTTCATAACATAAAGAGACAGTATGACACTTGTTATTACTTTTTCCCTGTACTTTCTGCCCATAAAATAACTTTTATAAAACCCAATTTCCTGGTTAACTATTAAATTCATTTTAGAATAAATTAGTGAAGAATTAAATTTTAGAATAAAAACTCCAACCTCTGTGCTGAAATAATTATGCTTTCTTTCCTTAATAGGTAGTTACAAGTAAATCTATAAAGGGCAATGAAAATGCCTTATACTTTATCTGTAAGTGACACATTGTATTTTTTAAAAAATAGTGCTTACCTTTAAAACTTTTTAAAATAGGAGTTTAAATGGAGAATTTCATCAATAGTAGCAAGTATCCATTTTTTAAAACTGTGTGGATTTTTTTTTAATTTCCCAGTTGATCATTCCACTGAAGAAAGGACAATGAGATTTTTGATCAAAATGTGTCATTCCAATAAGAGATGCTGTATTTTTATACCCCTCAAAAGCCACCATATATAGATCACAAATCTCAACCTTTTGCCTTTTATTAAAACATGACCATTTTTATTATTGTGTATGTTTTATCGCCTGTGGTAGTCAAGTGCCTTGTTTGCCTCTTCCTTCATGCTCTGATAAAGAGCTAATTGAACAACTTGGACTGTGACAGTTTTCTCTCTTTGAAGAGAATAAACAGAAGAAATGTGATTGGGAATTATAGTAAATTAGAATATAGGATCCAAAATATTCTCCTCCCCAAGTCCCCCCTTTTTGACAGTGAATCAGTTTCACAGTTGTCCTACTGACTGATGAACGTTTGAGAGCTCTCTGCAGAATAATATTTTTTCTTAAATGCTCCATTAGAAAAATTTAAAACTGGTTTGTGGATGTGATAAAATCTAAATTGTTTTTTCCTTTTGATAGTTCTCTTTCAATAATAAACGAACCACTTCCAGATGTGATTACAAAGTTTGGAAAACTTGCACGCACAGCGGTCTGGTAGTAGAGGAGGGGAGCATGGTTAATTACCCAGACTGGCCTGTTGTTTGTGTTCTTCATCTGGGGGAAACTTACACAGATGCCGCATGAAGACAGAAACAACTGAGGTAAAATTGTAATAGATCCTATTGACATTTGCCCAATGAGAAAAGACATTACAACATTTGATGTTTTTCTCATTGTTTCCAGAATGGATGAGAGTTCATGATCCCGCTAAGTTATAGTTTAAGTTTGTTTGGAGGTGCTTTCAAATTTGAGATTGAGCCCCAGGTCCTTCCTCCCCCCATCACTTACTGATGACCTCACTTCCACTGTGTACATGTTTGTTATAGAGAACGATTTTAGGCTACCATATTTGTTTAACCTCCCTAAAAATCTTTCAAGGCATGTCCTGAAAGCTGTTAATTTATGGTCTAGCAGATATAAACTTTATGCAGATAATAATCAACAGGGGTTAAAGAATGAGAAGGGTGACACAGGGTGGCAAACCGAATGCTTCCCCAGTGGCAACCCTAAGCCGCCTTTTCACCCTGCATCTTGTAGGCAGGTGGGAAATTGATTGTTTTGTTTTTTTAAGTGCTGGAACTGAATTCTGTATTATTTCTCATTGCTGCTGAAACCACCTATAGAAGACGTACTAGCTAATATGCATTGTCGTATCTTAATGTCAGTCTTTCGCTTTACACAGTATAAAACTAGTTGGTGGTTTTGTTTTGGTGTGGTAGAATGTGTTGTTATTTAGTTTTGCCTTTATAGATTATATGCCAAGATAGTTTTTGACAAGTCAATGGCATTTGGGTATTTCCTTGAAAGAATTTTATTTGACCTGAATTTTTTATAAAATTATCTTACATTAATATATCATTCTATTAGATTTTTCCTTCTGCATATTATTCATAGAGTATAATGTTGGCATTTCTTTAAATTTTATCCTTAAGAGAATAACATTACTTCCTAATTTATCATTGTCATTGTGCTTTGTTCTGCTCTTCTCTTTCTATTGGTTCCTAAAACAGTTAATCCTATGAAATAAATATTGATTATAACCCATAAGAATCTCTGTATTTTCCAGTGGGTAATGCCATATTTAATACACCAGCATCAGCCTTTCAATAACTCAGGCAGAGCACTTTATTCTTCTGGTGAGCTCCCTGAATATTTATTTTCTGGATTATAAATGTTCTATGTCAGTAGCATTTTTTAAATTATTATGTCTTTACTGTAGAGCTTTTACTTTTAATCTCTCTAGATGTATATGTTGGAATTCTGTACTTAGTACAATACAGTTTAAAATCATAGTACGTGACTTTAAAGCATCCCATATTTGGACTTCCAAGTTTCAGGATGTTAGTAATAGGTTCAGACTTGAACATTTCTCTAGACTTACAGGGACAGAATGTTGCCCACTGAAGTAGCAACCTAAAAACAATCCCCTGTGCTTACGCTTATAGTAGCGTAAGCTACTATACATGTTTCCTGTTGGTTCATGTAGAGTCTAAAACTAACATCTAATCATTTGATCAGTATTAAAACAAATAAGGGTTTAAATCTTCAAAATATTAGTGTAACATTATGTTTAAAAGTTATCTACATCAAAAATGTATTTATGGTACCATTTTCAAGGAGTACTATAGTATGATCAATTTTATAGAAAGGAATTGCTTCCTCTCCCTGTTCACGTGTGAGTCTAGCAGTGGCGTGTTAACACTCGTTTGGGGTTTGCGGTTTAGTCATCCCTGTAGGAAGGAGAGGCTTTTCCGACGGGGAGGAGAAACACACTGAGCAGTTCTACACACATCCAGTGTGGCTTCAGTTCGTCACTCTTCATCCCCCAAATATTTTAAAGTATTGGGTTTGGATTCTCAATGTATCATTTGCCTTATCTATTTATCTCTACTTTCTGTTTCTTTACATTTTTAAGTTTGTATAATTATCTGTGCCATTTTGCTTTTGGATGTATTTTCTAATTTAAAAACCACGTAAGAAGTATAATCAGCATACTAATACCTTAATGAGCACATGATAAATAAATGGCTGCAATGACGTAGACAGACTCCCCTGGTTTTTCTTGTGGGGTTGCAAGTGGTTTCTGCTGTCATGGGAAAAAATCATGTTCAAAGGACAGGGAGAGATGTAATAACTCTCAAGAGAATCTCCTTATGATACTTGCTTATCAAAATGTCCCAGAAATAAAATATTTGAAAGTATTGTCACATTTATTTTACTTCAGTTCTATGCTCTGCATGTGTCATACATACACAAATGTTTGTGGATTAGTTGATACGTAAGCTCTTTGTCCTTTTAAAATATTTATTACTGATACTATGTATTGGGATAACCTGCCATATCAAGCATTATATTGTATCATATATCACATTCAAACAACATTAAGTCATCTTCTACCTTTTTACATTTCTCATCGACCAGGGCCCGTTACTTCATGCTTAACTCATCCCAGTCTCATTAGTGAACTTTTCTGTAACTAGGTAGGCTCACCTATTCCTCGTTTGTTTATTGGTTTGAGTAAGATTTTTTTCCAGCTGTGTAAAGTTAAGAGGAATGTTTCTGTCGCAGGCTGTATATTGGGAATAAAAGACAAATTCAAGTCTATTTGCTCACAGTATATTAAACTCCAGAAGCCAAACTTACAAGGGCATCAAGTCTGCATCTGACACTTTAATAGCTGCTGTTTGGTTTCTATCAATCACGTCATTGCACATTAAAATGCACCGACAAAATAAGAGATCTGTCATTCCTTCGTTAAGAAACAGTAATCCAGTACAAGATTTATAGGTTTAAGACTCAACAGCGTGTGTTCACAATAAATCCCCATTCAGTGCTCAAACCAGAACAAGCCTCCCTGTCGTTCAGTGTTTTCTGCTCAAATGTCCCCAATATAAGATTATCAAAGCTTTTCTTACAGAACTACATATAAAATCCTTTTTGCCTGCAAAACCTTAATTTAGGTTGGCGGTTTCCCTTTTTGAGTAGTCTGAGACAAGATCTTGGTTATATCAGAAACACATAGGTACTGATGTATTATTAGCAGGCCTGGTGTTAATTAGGGAGAATTACCAGAAATAGTTTGCTTTGTGGGAATTTATTACAGAATCACACTTGACTGATGGCAGAATAGGAGTTGCTGAGAGAGAGCAGCTCCCACTCATAACCACTAATTAATAGGGTGCCAAAATTCCGCAGAGAAGGTTTCATCCCAAGTGTGGGAGCCTCACAGGGAAAATGGTTCCTTTGCAGTATTTAAAATTTAAAAGAGGAAAGGGCCTAGGACACATGGCTACCCAAAGGGACTCAGACTGATACAGTTTTGTGTTGTACTTATGAATGAGAGCATTTAACTCAGGAAGCACCAAGCGCAAAAGTTTGTGAAAGAACCCCTTTCCCCCCAAAAGTCAGTAGTGGGCTGTATATTTATCATACTCAGGAGAGAGATGCATAGTATTTTGAATGTGGCAAGTGTCTGATTCACTCACATGTTCATTTCATGAAGAGAATTTAGAACCCACTATTTGACTGTGGTATTATATTTCTGACCTTTTACTCTTTACTCTTTACTCCATGATTTAGAAGCTGTCTGAGTAGGTGGCAAGATTGCATCAATGATTAAAAAGAAAGGTGTGGCTTCCACACCTTGAGTGCCAAGTGGGGGGGAAGCAAGGTGTGTTTAGTGATCGGCACTAATGACAGGGCGCTGAGGGAGCCCTAGTAAATGAGTTTGCCAAGGAGGCAATTTTTCCTTGTGTTTGTAACTGTGTGTGATCACATACAATAAAGCTTGGAGCTGTTGCTTAGCATAGAAGAATAAAACATCTCCATGTCAGAAAACCACTGATCGCTGACCGCAGGGAGAAAAGTAAAACAATTTAGAATCCAAAGAGAATACAATTTTTCATTTTCTCTTTAGGCAAATATGGTTCCCATGGAAAATGACTTCGCTACCAGGTCTATGAATTGATTGACATGGTTGCTAATGCATCCATGCTTCAAGGCACAAAGTTCTTGTTTAATAATTGGTGTCTAAATTAGTTTTTCATCATGTTCTAAATGGTCACATTTGCTCTCTAGTTCAAATATACTTAGGTTTGTTTTCTCTTTTTTTTTTCACTTGTAAAGCACACACAGCTGGTGCTATTCTAAACACTTAGTCAAAAATGCCATTGTTTAAAGTATTTCAGTAGGCCATAGTGTCTTCAGAGGTGTCTTGGTTTTGTATTCCTACTGTATCACTGATATGCCAAATGGTTCCCTTGGTAAATAAGACAGTAAACTGAGTTCCAGTGACTTATCATACAAATATGAATTTTTATGTAAATAAAAGTCTTTGCTTAGGTGACTATATTGACGCCATCTGACCAGGAAGCTTGAGAATCCTGAGGATCTCAAGCCTCCTTAGTTAAATGAAACAGAGAGCAGAGAATCATGGAGCTTTTCAAGTATAAACTTCGAATTATAAATTAAATTAATTTTGGCTTTATAAACTGAAACCATTCATTTTGCTCTGTTAAATTATTATGCTACTGCTTAATAATGTGTTCTGGAACCATTATCAGTGCTTCAAATGAAACATGAATAAGCACTGAATCGAACCCACTCTTTCTGCCCCAAGAAAAGAAATAAATCAGTGATGTGTATCTATTACAGTCTGCTTATTCCTGAGTATCCAGGAAGTCTGAGATGATCTTTAACAACATTGATATGGTATAGCTGTTGAGAGGAAGTCAGAGCCTGGGGGAAACGTGTTTGTTTACTCCTGGCAGGTCAGACTTGGATCCAGTCAGGAGACAGAAATCACACAGTAACTTAACAATAGATGTTTAATGTAAAGAATTACTAGTTAAGCTATGATAAGAGAGTAACTGAAAATACAGAGTACTCAAAAAGGGTAACCTAGGGCTGAGAGAGGACCCGAGGAAGGACAACCTTAGATGAAGTACTCCTTCCGATGGCTAGAGGTCAGACTTTGTTGAAAAAAGTGTGGTCGTGGTTTACGGAACAACAGAGGAGTTCTCTGCTGAGGCCAGAGGTGATCCTCATTTGCCACAAGGATGCAGGTAAGCCAAGGTTGGTGGGTGGGTGTGCAAAGAAAGTTGGGGTGCTGCTATGGGTATGAGGCCTGGAATGCAGGTGCCTGCATGCAGAGGACTGCAGCAAGCTGGTGACGGAGCCTGGCTGGGCAGGTGAGTCAGGGCTGTGCACTCTGGATGCATAGCTGGGGCAGAGCGCCACCAGATGTCCCCACTCTCATGCTCCGTGGATGGACCAGCAGCTGGAGCAAGACAGAGCAAAATGCAGCACCTGAGTCCAGGAAGAGAAGCCCCTTACTTCTGAACTATTTCTTCAGTTCCCTGGGCCAATGGCAGACAAAGCTTAACACTGTGCTCACTCCAAAGGAGAAATGCTTAGAGTCTGTTCCTTACCACAGAGCGGGTAGTGAAGGCAAACTTGGAACTGAGAAATCAAAGTGACAATTGGCACATCTGGGTACAAAAAAAATGTTTAGATTTTCAATTATATTGAAACTTCACAAGCAGAACACCTATGCATATTCTTGGGGAACTGGTAAGTCAAACACTAGGTTTTTTTATTGTCAAAAATCCAGTGATAATTATGTCTTCAGTGTGAAAAGTAAACGTCTCATTTATTGTGCTTTTCAGAGTCCTCTAAACAGCCCATCAATTGAACAGTTCTAAATATTTAAGAGATTTAGTTGGACCTATACTCATAAATAACCTGGGTTTTTCGTGGGTTTATTTTATTACACTGCAATGCTTTTCCTACGATTAAAATGAATAAAACATTCTTAATTGAAGGTTTGTGTTAATTGGAACTTCAGAGGTTTTTCTTTATAAACCAAAACCACTATCATATAACAATGGATTTTTTCCTAAGATTTTATTATTTTTAACCCTGACTTGTGTGGCTCAGTTGGTTGGGCACGTCCCACAAGGCAGTGGGTCGCCGGTCCATCTCTGGTCAAAGCGCATGCCAGGCTTGGAGGGTCAGGCCCTGGTCTGGTGCCTGCGGGAGGCAGCTGGTCACCGTTTCCCACATCGATGTTTCTCTCCCTCCGCCTCTTTCTAAAAGTAAATAAATAAAATCTTTTTTAAGGTTTTTTAAAAGGAAGAGAGGAAGAGAAACATGGATGTGAGAGAGAAACATTGATGGGCTGCTTCCCGCACACCCCAACGGGATCAAACCAGCGACCTCTCATTTTGCAGAAGGCACGCAACCAGCGGAGCCACAATGGTCAGGGTTAAAACAGATTATTTTTATATTCAGTAATAGAAAGCAAGCAGATTAAAGTTTCCCTTTCACAATAAACTAAACCATGAAGGATAAAGCCCAGTGGGCCTATAATTATATTTGTTGTATAGCCTTTGTAAGTCATGTGGTATATTATCTGTTAAACTAGGAAACACTAGTACACCGCAAGGTTTTAATAATTGGAGAAACTCTGAAAGTCAAGTATTTTTAACCCATGTATTAGAGATGAGGAAATGAAAACTCAGAAATGATTCTCTGAAAACATAGTTATTATCTGGCAAATTTGAGACTTAAACTTTCTAATAGATTAGGGAAAAAAACATTCTATTGCATCCACATTATCTTAGGAGTCCCTCTTGTTACTAAGGGGCAATTCCCATATTTTCAGTTAGTAAAGGACAGGCTTAGGAATTACTTCCTTTCTCTCTGTATCTATCTTACTGATACAGTTGCCCGCCGCACAGATGTCAATATTCGAGGAGTTCGCAACTGGACCGTTTGTTCCACAAGGGTATTAGTGACGTGATAGGCCTCTCTGCAATGCACCATTTGCTGTTCTTTGTGCCTTTAATACATTTCAAAGAAGCACAGGAATAATAAGAGTAAGATCATTTAAAGCGCAGGTAACACCAAGTGTGATAACAAGCAAATGAGAAGGCTGTAGGAAATGCAATTAAAATGACTTCCACAAATAAGAAGGCTGTAGGAAATGCAATTAAAATGATTCGCACACACAGAGCTCAATAATACCCATTTATAAGATGT